AAAGAGACCAGATATCATCAGAGAAAAGGAAGGGATGGGGGGGTGCAGAAAGGAGTGTTTACTTTTATAATAGGAGGCAGAAAGGTGTGATTTACCTGAGCGCCGACGGAGTACGTCCTGCTCTGGGAGTCTAAGGTTTTGACCGTCACTTCTATGTCTGAAGCTTGCTCTTCCATGGTGTTCCTGAGTCACAACAAGCAGCCGGACTTTAGAGATGGGCAGGAAATGTATCTCATAAAGATCTTATTTACCGTCTTATTTCTCTGTTTGGTCAAATCAGATTTTTTTTAGGACATTTATCCCCTGATCCTTGATTTAATACATCAGCATTCAATCAGGTGTTGTTTGTTTGTTTTTTAACATCTTCTGGATTACTTTTGCACGGCCAATTTTTTACTTTTGCTTTGTTTTTTTAGTAATATTTAGCCTTTTCGGGGGGAATATTATTCTAAAGTAGCAAATCTCCTACTTAAAGAAAAGTTATGGCTACTCTACAACCTGTGTTGTTGATTCGTAGCTAAAAACAACACCGCTTAGCGGGTTAGACTAAATCTATTGTATCCATCAGATGCAGCTTTCTTGTACCAAAAAAGTCATCGGCACAAATTCCCATAAGGTGACACAATGTTGTTTTGATAACGACAACTATAGTTACAAAAGCTGAGTTGTCATAAGATTTAAGATCAAGGAGAGCACGGTGTTTTTCTTGTAACGCAGATCTGTTCTGTAAGTCACACACACCAACACTTTCCCTGCACTTTGATACATTATCATGCATCTAAACAGTATCACGAAACCCCCTCTTACACTAGGCTATTGTGAGCCAATGCCTGTCTATTGATATCGACTTTTAAATAACTATGAAGCCCGGCAGGCTTTAGAAACTGCGCTAACACCAACAAGCTAACAAGCCGCCTGGCTAAGCTAATGCTAAAGAAACTACGCCCTAAAAAAACGGTATTAGGTTTTATAAACGGCAGGATATTTATTTTCCCCACCGCAGCGCGTGGTTAAACGCTTACCGTCCAAGTCTCACGACCCAGTTAAATTATCCAGTGTTTGCAGCTGGCTCTTATCATCAGATAGCTAACCGCTTCCTCAGGGTCCCTGCTCTCGCACTTGCTAGAAGGAGTCTAGCTACCGGATGTGACGTAAGCGCGTCACCGGAAGGAGGCCGCGCAGTGCGAGGAAAGATGGCGGCCCTAGTGGAGGCGACGACCGAGAAGCAGTTCGAAGATTTGCTCTCCAAAGCCGGGAAAAACCTCACGGTGGTGCATTTCCAGGCGGCATGGGCCCCCCAGTGCGGGCAGATGAACGAAGTGATGTCCGAGCTGGCCAGGGAGCACGCGCATGCGCACGCGACGTTCGTCAAGCTCGAGGCGGAAGCGGTTCCCGAGGTGTCCGAGAGGTACGAGATCTCCTCGGTGCCCACTTTCCTCTTCTTCAGGGGCGGCGAGAAGGTGGACCGGCTGGACGGGGCCCACGCCCCGGAGCTGGTTAAGAAGGTCCAGCGGCTGTCGGCGGCCGGGGGCCCGGCCGGGTCCGCGGGGGAGGCCGTTGGGGAGGCCGGTGGGGACCTGAACCAGAGGCTGAAGAAGCTGGTGAACGCGGCCCCCTGCATGCTGTTCATGAAGGGCGCCCCGCAGGAGCCCCGCTGCGGGTTCAGCCGCCAGATAGTGGCCCTGCTCAAGGAGCACGGCGTCCAGTTCAGCAGCTTCGACATCCTGTCCGACGAGGAGGTGCGCCAGGGGCTGAAGGCCTTCTCCAACTGGCCCACCTACCCGCAGCTGTACGTGAACGGGGAGCTGGTGGGGGGGGTGGACATCGTGCGGGAGCTGGCCGAGTCCGGGGAGCTGGAGAACACGTGCCCCCGGGCGGGGGCCACCCTGGAGGGGCGGCTGAAGGCCCTGGTCGGCCGCAGCCCCGTGGTGCTGTTCATGAAGGGCAGCCGGGGGAACGCCAAGTGCGGCTTCAGCCGGCAGATCCTGGAGCTGCTGGACGGCGCCGCGGTGGAGTACGACACCTTCGACATCCTGCAGGACGAGGAGGTGCGGCAGGGCCTGAAGGCCTACTCCAACTGGCCCACCTACCCGCAGCTCTACGTCAACGGGGAGCTCATCGGGGGCCTGGACATCGTCAAGGAGCTGAAGGAGAGCGGGGAGCTGGGGGCCGTGCTGAGGGGGGAGTCGTAGGACCCGGGAGGGGGGGGATATCTAGATATCTATCTATCCAAAGATAGATAGATATCTAGATATCTATCTATCCAAAGAGAAGCCTGGACCCCAGACACAGATATTTAGTCCCAAACCCAAGTTCTGAGAACTCTCGTCTGGTTTTCTCTGTGGAAATTAGAGTTTATAATCAGATATTTTCATTCTGGTGAAGAGCCCCCTCCCCACAGAAACCCTGTCTAGTTCATTAATAGCATCCTGTTGTTTGACACTATGGTGAAATAAAGCAAAAGGAAACTCTTCCCCGTGGGTCATTGTTTTATTAGGATCCCGAGTGAAAAAAAACAACCCAAATGGTTTAATAAACGGTGACTGTGGCTGGAGTGACCCCAAATAGAAAACCTGGACCCAGATAACCAACAGACATGCCCACAAAGCACAGATATTTAGTCCCAAACCCAAAAACCCAAGTTCTGAGAACTGTCGTCTGGTTTTCTCTGTGGAAATTAGAGTTTATAATCAGATATTTT